GGATCATTAGAAAAACAGATAGAAAGATAAATAGTTAGAAAAACAGATAGAAAGATAAATAGACAAGAAGATAGATCATTAGAAAAACAGATAGAAAGATAAATAGTTAGAAAAACAGAAAGGTAGCCAGATAGAAAAATAAAAGGATAGATAGCCAGACAGAGATAGACGGGTAGCTAGATAGAAAGATTGGCAGACAGACTGAACGGTAGATAGATAAACAGACATATAGACAAATAATTAGATAGATGAATAGTTAAAAAGAAAGAGAGATAAAATGACATAGATTTTTAAATAGACAGATAGATAGATAGGCAGACAGAGAGATAAATAATTATATAGATAGTTAGAGAAACAGAAAGAGACATAGATAATTAGATAAATAGGCAGATAGATCGATAGATAATTAGATTCAGAGATAGATACAAGTTTCCGTTTGGCTGACATTCGAGCTTCAAATCCTGACGTAAAGAACGTATATTTTAAAGTGGTTATTATTAAAGCCTCAAATCCTGACGTAAAGAACGTATATTTTAAAGTGGTTATTATTAAAGCTTCAAATCCTGATGTAAAGAACGTATATCTTAAAGTGGTTATTATTAAAGCTTCAAATCCTGATGTAAAGAACGTATATTTTAAAGTGGTTATTATTAAAGCTTCAAATCCTGATGTAAAGAACGTATATTTTAAAGTGGTTATTATTAAAGCTTCAAATCCTGACGTAAAGAACGTATATTTTAAAGTGGTTATTATTAAAGCTTCAAATCCTGACGTAAAGAACATATATTTTAAAGTGGTTATTATTAACTTTTCAAGAAATAGTAAAGTTAAGATAATATTTTATAATACAGGACTATTTTGTATAATAATAATATGTAAAATTCTTCATTTCACCGCTAACAGTGAGAACTGGTGAGTAAGTAACTTACCATAACCATTACCCACACTTTGTTAGTTCGATCACCATAAGTTGTATATGGTAACTGAGTAATTTACCATAAACGTTACACCACACTTTGTTAGTTCGATCACCGTAAGTTGTATATGGTAACTGAGTAATTTACCATAAACATTACCCACACTTTGTTAGTTCGATCACCGTAAGTTTTATATGGTAACTGAGTAATTTACCATAAACGTTACCCACACTTTGTTAGTTCGATCACCGTAAGTTGTATATGGTAACTGAGTAATTTACCATAAACATTGCCCACACTTTGTTAGTTCGATCACCGTAAGTTTTATATGGTAACTGAGTAATTTACCATAAACATTACCCACACTTTGTTAGTTCGATCACCGTAAGTTTTATATGGTAACTGAGTAATT